CAAATTCCAAAAACAATATTTTATTAGTAAGTTTGAAAGTTGTATATGTGCGGCAAAACACTAGACGTAGGAAGCAAAGTCATGAGTCATAATGTTTTTACTACATAATCGTCTGGCAGATGTGAAAAATAATTTTGTAGAAATAATGATTATTAAAAGATAGCTTATGAAAGGAAATAATAAATATATCACAATTAAAAATAGAATGTTCAGATTTTTTTACAAAATGATGGTTGAGTATTTCAAATACACTTTTATAAATTTAATACAAAAATTAAGTAGAGACAACTTAATTCTCTTCATTAGTGACTTCTGTACTATCAATCCATAGAGATCAAAATGAGCGGTTACTTCACACGAGAACATATATGGGAAAGTACTCTAAGATGAGAATTCAATTGTTTTTGTAAACAATCCATAGTAAGTACAGCAACAGTTAATTCAACAATGCCTATTACCTTAGCAACCACTAGCTATAGAAACAATTTAATAATATTCAACATTAAAGGGCATTGTGCAATTACAAAAGCATGTCGATAACGACTAAGGCGAATTATTATTTTTGCTGCCTGTGCTTAGAATATTTACATGTCCCATTTTTTTATGAACCCCATTCCCATGAACGGTCGACGATCGAAATGTTGAAATTAATGGTTGGTCTCAGAAGTAGCACTCTGAATACTAATTGCCTATATGATACGTGATCACTTACGCTGTTCTTTAAAAATCATTGGCTCCAGTAACACTCCATATTCGCACTTTGATGACTGATGAAAGTATCATTGAGTTGAACAAAAAAAACAGTGAGTTATCGTTTGCGATATTTCCTTACCGATACGACCTTCAAGAAAAGAGCGTACTCCTTCCTAAAAGGCCGGTAACGCGTTTGTGACTACTGAGTTGGAAACGTTCATGGGCAGCTATGGTCACTTTCCATCAGGTCGGTAGTCAGGGTCGTCTGCTCGTCTGCCCCCTTAAACATAAAAAAAATAGACAGAATGAGAACATTAGCCAACAAGCTACTTTGCTACTGGCAAGGCGGCCAACCGTTTCAAGATGGTGTTCGATTTCTGGTGTACAAGTCTGTCATACCATCATTCTCATATTCAGAGTGTCAATCATGGTAGTATTTCTGGCATTTAGAACTTAAAAGAGATATTCATTAAAAGTCTCTAAAGGTTATGAACCGACCCGATACTCAAATGATGTAGTACATGGTATGTATAAGTACATATTTAGGGAAAGAGGAACTCTGTTTTCATTATACTGCGTCACAGAAATGGAACTGAATGGGTAACTAAGTCCATTTGTGTGAGGTTCCCGATGGTTACACGAGAAATGAGACAGACTTCATCATAGGTAATAGGTAAATAGAAATAGATATTCAATTACCTCTCCATGATTTACAGAATGAAAACGTAATATAGTGACCACTGAATATAAGACACGTTACTAACACACGTTGCGGTCTACTCGAGTTTATATTTCTAAACCACGAGAGCTTCCAGATGGAACATTTAAATCCCTTAGGCTGTCTGGTAAATGCAAGAAGTCTAATGAATGGTATGTCGAAGTCGAATATGGGTTGAATTCCCACGGAGTAAGTTTGTACAAATACTTCTACGTCTGGGACACTGTTGAGTGTCCCAGACGTAGAAGTGTTTGTAGGCTGAACTGTGTCTGATCCGCAAGGAGCTAATGCCTGAGTGTCACAACTGCAATGGCCGGACCGTGGACACGGCGCTTCATACGCTGGCAGAATGCCCTCCTCATGTACCATGATTACGGCCACGGTACCGCCGTCTTCTGTGAGCAAGTTATGTTTGCGAAGGAGGCCGGCGGAGCGAGACTGGGAAAGATTTAGAACTCTCCCGGTATGCCAGACTCGGGAACAGGCCAGGTACCGCAGACGACTCAGGCGCTGGGCTAGGGCTTGGTTTTCCGGGTACTGGTAGTCGAGACGGCGTCCGGTTTTTAATCGGTTCGAGTTTGACGTAACCACCAGTGCGTGGTATCCGAGGGGTTTATCACACAGAAAAATGTAGTACATAGTTGTTGTTGTAGCTGCATGCAAAGTATTAAGTTTTAAGCCGACTTTAGTCGACATGGGATAATTGAAACATCTAAAAACCCTTAAAAATATTTTTTTTTTGTTTGTAATATTAAAAAAAAAACTTATATCCTAATTTACAATGTTTGAGAATTAATCAAATTATGACCAATTTTTTTAATTATTAATCATGGGATTTTATTAGGCACAACTAAACTTCTTAGGATTCATAAAATAATAATTCAGGAATGGTTATTATAACGATTGACGTCAATGCAGATGTCAATGTAAGCGCACAAGAACATGTTTTTTAAGACAAATCTTTGAAATTCTCAGATTTCCTCTACGAGAATATGCATGCATTATACATATAAAGCTTCCTCGTGATTCACTCTCTCCATTGGTGTAAACTGCATTAAAATCCGTTGATTAGTTTAAAAGATCTAAGTGTACAACACAAAAAAGCGACTGTATTTTATACTATGGAAAGATTATATTTTTGAAGTATTCTGTAAGTGATTTTCTTCCCCTATGTTAGAATGCGTAATGATTATTTACTTTATAACATTATAACAAAAATTGCATTTAATTCGCTCGTCGTATGATTCATTTTACACATTGTTTGGTTCATTGTTTGGTCACATTGTTTGACACAAATAGTTATGACCTTCAGTACCAAATAAAAATACAGTAACATTACTGTTCAAGTTTTGATCTGGTTCTTTATCCTAAATTCATATTTAGTAATTGCAGTAGGTATGCAAAGAGTGAAATATTTGTGAATCATTAATAATAATAATAATAATAATACTTTATTCAAAACCTTGTTACATTTTCACAATAATTATACGATAATGGCTACAGTAGTATAAACTGTGTCGTAGCCATTAACGCCCACATCCGAATCCAACAGTACAAGTACTTACAACTAATTTTACAATTTTTACAATGAGTAATTAAATGTGTTTTGGTACCTATCTTGTGTAAATGGTGTTTGAGTGTATGTTAAGTGTAGGCGAGTGTATGTCAGTGTACGTGTGATGAGTGTAAGGTGTATACGTTTTCATGCTATGATGTCTTCAGACTGACTGTACGTTAAGGAAAGAAGCCACACTATCAATTTGTGCTTACATTTTTTATAGGTTAGGGGATATATATTTAGCAACCTATTAACCCTATTATATAGTTTGGGGCTAAGAAAGTAAAACTGCCGGGATGCCAGAGCAGTTCTATGTGGTATACTAAAATGTACTCTGTCGGATCTACGTGTATTTTTAATAAAATTAATGTCATACGGGGAGGCAGTATGCTTACGCAGAATAGCCCGCAGTATATATAATTGCCGCACCGTTAGTACCTTACAGATACTGTAAAGCTCAGACGTAGGGAATCTTCTAGGCTTAGCAGTCATCACCTTAAGTATACATCTCTGAGCTCTCTCCAAACGAACCATATATGCTTTGCAAGCACCACCCCAGGACGTAATGCAATAACCGATTATAGATTGAACTAGCGCATAGTAGACCATCTTCATGGTGTTAAGATCTGTAGCATTTCTCAGCTTTTTAAAAATATACAACAACTTTCTAACCCTTGTAACAATTTGTTCAATCTGAAAATTCCAAGTAAGATTATTGTCGACTATTACCCCAAGATATTTAATGCAGTTACAACGAACTATAGATGGACAACTGCAGTTGTAGGTGTTAAGGGAGCTACATATGTGTGCCTTGATTTCGAATGAGGGTGGCGGTTGGGAAGATGCATTTGGGGAAAAAGTCATGAACCTGGTTTTTTCTAGGTTAAGGGTGAGTAAGTTTATTTCGAGCCAATGCATTACCAAGTTCAAAGCGATTTCAGCATTACCACGTGCAGAGTTCCAGGTAGGTCCATCCACTAGCAGGACAGTATCGTCGGCAAAGGAAACAATTCTACAGTTTTTGACTTTAAGGCAGCAAAGCTCATTCACATAAATAAGAAACAGAGTGGGACCGATCACACTTCCCTGGGGAACCCCATAGGTTAGTGGAACCTCAGAGCTAGTGATATTATCTATTACTACACTTTGTGTGCGGTCTCTGAGGTAGCTGGCAAAAATCTCAAGAGCCAAACCACGGATCCCAAGTGATTCCATCTTGTGTAGAAGGACTGTAATTTTTTGTTTAGAAGTTTTTCAAGTAATTTGGAAAGTGATGATAAAACAGAGATAGGCCTGTAATTATCGATACTGTCTCTATCTCCACTCTTGTGGATAGGGTGAACAAGAGCTTTCTTGAATACCTTTGGAAAGACACCCGAAGACAGGCATAAATTAAAAACATGCTTGAGCACAGGTATAAGTACGTGCCTTGAGGTTCTAATAACAGATGATGGGATTCTATCCCACCCTAGTGCTGTGTTATCTTTTAGTGTTAATATAATCTGTTCAAGTTCAGACTCATCAACCTCAGTCAGAAACATTGAGTGTAGAACAGGTGGGCGATAAATTAGTGCATTTAGCTCATTAGGAGTTTGTTGACGGCTAGATCGAGTCATGAGGTTATTCGCCAGTTTAGCACCTATCCCTGCGAAATGTTCGTTTACCTTACTAACGGCTATAGACGGATCCCTATGGTGTTTAAGTAGTGGTATAGGTGCAGATTTGTCGCTAGTGGTATTAGTAATTTTTTTGAGTATGTTCCAGGTAGTCTTGGTATTACCCCCGGCCTTTTGTAGTTCTATTTTGTGGTAGTTCTGTTTAACCGTCTTAAGGAGATTATTACAAAAGTTGCGATAGCGGTTATAGGTTAATTTTAAAGTTTGATTCAAGGGCTCCTTTTTTGTATTTTTTTGTAAATTATCCCTGTGGCGAATGCAACGCAATAGACCGGGTGTAATCCAGGGTTTAATTAACCGCCGATTGTGTGATAACGCAATAGTTGTGGTATGAGAACTAATGACATTAGTCAGAATGGCAACCAACGCCTCCGATGCCACCTCAGCATTTCCTGCAGATAAAACCGAAGAAAAATCGATTTCCTCCAGCTGTTGGCTAATGGCTGCAGGGTCAGTACGCTTAGTGGTTTGGCAACGTTTGGTTTCAGCGAGGGTTGAACGGTCGCAAGAGAAAAATATAGGAGCATGATCGGTTATATGAGAGTCAAGAATATATGTGGTAGATTTGTGGTCGGTTCTAAGTATTACGTGATCTAAACAATTTTGGTTGCGTGTGGGTAGTAGATGGGCAGGTAGCAAACCATTGGAGGAGGTCATATTTAAATATTGATCTGTTTCATTGTTCCTATTTTGTGGAGTTATGTTTATGTTCAAGTCCCCAATTAGCGCCAGGCATTTATATGAATTTAATGATTTTAGTATTAGGTCCAATGAGTCTATAAAACTGTCAATATTCCTATAAGAGGGGGATCGATATATTGAAACAATTGCAAAATCATTTTTATGTTTAAAAATGAGACAATTGGCATCAGCGATTTCAGGTTCAGAGACAATATGACTGATTTTATTATTTACATAAATTACCACACCGTCGTTTTGGTTTGTAAATTTTGAGGAGTAACAAATGAAGTCGGTAAGAGCTGGTAGGTTAGATATTTTACTTAGCCAGCACTCTGTTAAAATAATTATTTCGGGGAGATTGTCCAGTCTGTGCAAAAGTACTATAAGCTCATCAAAATTCGCTGAAATACTTCTGATGTTGGCGTGAAGCACTTTCCAGGACTCAGCAGGTTGCTTTGTCATACCAACACAGTGTTCAGGGGCGCATATTAGGGATTCTGAGACAGAAAGTCTGTCTAGGTCATACGTGATCAGAGTTGTATTATCCATAAGTATTTATTTGAATAGCAATACCACTGGTCAATGTGTAGACACACGACAGTATGACCCCAACACCGTCCGAGTGTTGAATACTTTGGTTGTGGGATAATGATATATTTATTTTATAGGTGGTTTCCTTATTACCTGAAGATGTTTCTGACATATCATAGAGTTTGAGGTGAGTGAAAGTAAGTTGGGATAGAACAATTGTATTGTGTAGTGTGTATGTATGGTATTGTATATTATTATAAGAGTAGTATATTAGTATATTGTACAAAAACATAGCAGTATTATAAGTAATAGTATTCAGTCTTAAGGTCGCTTCCTTCAAACAACTGACAGAATCTTCACTGTGCTTGGAGGATACAATATCGAGCGAAGTTAGACAAATTTTAAGAAATACAATCCGCAGTACATAATATAAGGTTATTATTTTTTTATCTCCAGGTCTGCTAGTGACTGCTCCGATATAATTCGTATTTGTGTAGTTCCAGTTTCCTTTCGAAGATAGAAACTGCCGTTTTTTGTCCAACAAAACATATAGCCATGCAGTCTGGAAAACTCCCTTGCCTTATAAAATAATTTCCGTGAGCTAGCCGGCAAATGTTCCGCAATATATATAGGTCTGCGTTCACCAACTAAACCTATAGTATGGGTATTCAAAAGTTCTGTTTTCGACCGGTTTTTATTGAAAATGCGAGCAGTCGCCAAAAGAGAGGTTTTCGTCTGCACACTGTTAAATTCAGCAACAATCGGTCGCGCTGTTGCCGATTTACCCGGAAGACGATAAACATCTCGAATTTCCGATTTTGAAAGCGTCATGTTCATGGTTTCTGCAACCTTAGTGACAATAGATGATAAGTCAGATGGCATTTCATTTTCTTTACTCGGAATATTCCGAAGTTCGATGCTAGACAAGCGCGACGTTTGCTGAAGATCCTGTATTCTAGTCTCAAGGTTACTAATACAATGTCTATAAGTTTCCTTTTCTCTTTGTAACTCGGCAATCTGTTGCTTCACATCTTCGAATTGGCTGTTAATAAAAACCATAGACCTCTCTATCTCAGCATTTGACTTAGTCAATGAAGTAGTTTGGTTCTTGAGCTCGGCAATGTCTACCATCAAACGATTCAAACTAGCTGATTGTTGGTCACAAAACTTGGTTAGACGGGAGTCCTGTTCCTCTTTCCATTCCTTTAACATATATCTGATATCCTCCCTAAAGGCAGAAAGTTCATCGGATGGAGAATGCTCTGAGCGAAAGCGTTTATGCCTCGCGATAGTGTTTATGTTGTCCCGATCGGTGACAACAGGGCGAGTTAAATCAGTCTCCGATCGAACTTGGACTAGGTTATTACTACGGCCCGCCTTAGGTGAGGATTTTGCCCGTGACATTTTAGTATTGTTGTTGTTGTTTTATGTTTATCTAATCATTACGATTAGATAAACATAAAACAACAGTTTATAATTCAAATGGAGCTTTAAATATACGCAACTACTTACTACTGGTAAGCTTTAATATTATTGAAGTTGGAATGATTGGACTGTTGGTCTAGTTGATACTAGTTCTGACTGCCAAGCTAGCGATTGTGGGTTGGATTTTAATCCAAGCCAAAAAGTAGTTTGATAAACACGGTCATTTACACTGTGTCCCGGTCTAACGTCAATCATTATAATAAACATTCCTCAACTGACGTCAATCATTACAATAAACAATCATAAATTATTAATTTTATGAATTCGTAGAAGTTTTAGTTGTGCCTAATAAAATCCCATGAATAAATCGTTTAGAAAATTTCCCACAATTAGATTAATTTTTAAGCACTGTAAGTTAAGACATAAGATTTTTTTACAGGAATATTAATACATTGCATGCAGCTACAACAACAACCCTCGGATACCACACACTGGTGGTTATGTCAAACTCGAACCGACTAAAAACCGGACGCCATCTCGTACCAGTACCCGGGGAACCAGGTTCTGGACCCTAGGAAAGTAATCCTTGGGACCCCGACGGACCCCGGGCTATCTGCCTCTTGTAAATGACCTCCTCCTGTGGGAATAGTGTTCAAATATTATACTTAAAGGGCGAGCACGCTCATCAATGCTTCGCCGAGCTAGCCCGGTCTGCTTCTGCTAGGGTGACAGATGACCTCACCTGTCACCCCCAGGCCGGCGCCTGAGTCGTCTGCGGTACCTAGCTCGTTCCCGAGCCTGCTATACCGGGAGAGTTCTAAATCTTTCCCGGTCCGGCTCGGCCACCTCCTTCCCAAAATAACTTGATCACAGAAGCCGGCGGTACCATGGCCGTAATCATGGTACGCCTATACGCCTCTGCTGAACCACGCCGGGTATTCTGCCAGCGTGTGAAGCGCAGTGTCCATGGTCCGGCCATCGCAGTTGTGACACTCAGGCGTTGGCTCCTTGCGGATCAGACACAGTTGATTCCATAAGCATCCCTTCCCGGTGATCACCTGCGGCAGCCGGTATGAGAGGGTCCCTTGATGACTCTCTAACTAATTCTCCATAACGGGTCTTACCGCTGCAATAAGGGCGTGGGCGACGGCTACAACAGCATTATTGCGTCGTTGTAGCCGCATGCAAAACGAGTGTGTTTTTATCGTGTAGCACTCGCTAGGTGTAGTCGTATAAATACGGATATCAACTGTTCATTCAGTCAATCCAGTTTACATCACCGCTACTACAGCACTCGAAGTACAACTGCTTCAGCGTCCGTTGTGTAGAAACGTGAGTGACCAATATTTCTATTTCTAGTTGAACATGTGATGTTTATTTGATGTGGAAAAGCATTTTTTGAAATTTCATTAATAGTTAGCTTTATTGGTGAATAAATACTATAAATAAATTTATTCAAATCTTCGATTTTCAATTTTTTAAACAATTGTTTTTGGAACCAATCAGTAAATACTCTTATTATGTTTTTTTTATTTAACAAAGGAACAATCTCTTTTATGTAAATTAATATCTTAACTGCGACTCTCGTATTTACGTACCAATATTTTATTAAATCACAATTATTAATACCTATCACAAATACTTCTTAAAGATACAGTTATTACTACTGTTTGCTGATTTTTTTTTCTGATCTAGAACGTGTAACGGACTGCCACGCCAAAAGGTCGTAGGTTCGATTCTCGCTCAAGTCAAATATGCATGAAAATTTAATGTCTGATTTGGTCTGGTGTTTCTATGTTTAATCTGTATGTATTGACAAAAAAAAGTATTAATGTATTTATGTCAGTTGTCTAGTACCTATAGTACAAGTTGTCTAGTACATAGTTTCCGACTAAATGGCGCTGTGTAAATGTGGTAAAAAAAATACAGTTAAAAAAAGCGCATTTATAGCAAACTAATCTAAAAAAAATATCTTTGATTGACGAAAGTATGGGGTGCTTTAAATCAAATTCCACAAGTACATAGTTCATTGTTAGCTATTAGAAAATTAGAACTATACTAAGAATATAGTGAACAGCACTTCGTTTTATTATTAAATAATTTTCCTTTAACTATATGCATAATAACTTGACTTGACAGCAGGGTTGGCGTACTACGCCGAGTGTTGTGGGTTCAAACCCCACATGGGACGACACTTTGTGTCATTCACAAATTGTTGTTCTGAGTCTGTTATGAATGAATACATGTTAAATCTTACTATTTTGTAAGTATTCTTGTTAACATAAAATGCCATGACGCACGATAGGTATTGTAAAAATAAGTAAATAAATAAAAGCCTTTATTCACTGACCATATTACAAACGTATTATATAAGTTAAAATGTGTACATTTTAACTTATATAATACTTACAAAACAATTTTCTCAAATTTTTGATAAAATATTTTCTCTAGCAACCACTTAGTCAGGTTGTCTTTCGACATAGGCCTCCCCCAGTTCCTTCCACTTATCTCTATTTCGAGCTATCCTTCTCCATCCTTTCGGCAAAATGCCATGACGCACAATAGGTACTGCATACTCGAACAAGCTTATAATTTATTATTATTTTCTAGATAGCCCTTTGTCCTAAACCTTCGTCTGAAAAGAGTTTAAGCGACGCCAAACATAAAATGCAGTTACAACGCAAATCAAAATCATGTAAAATATTACATACAACTTTAATTATAAATAAATGAAACAAAAAATAATTTACAGTAAAACAAAAATTACATAAATTAACTCTAAACGATATTTTCGTTTTTAATTAATGATTTATTATTATGGTCTGAATTACCTTGTAGCACAGTTTAAAGTTAATAAATTACACCTGTTAAAGGTGTATATAATCGTATTGCATTAAAAAAAAACTTTAAATAAAGAAAGTACCTATGCAGTTTATAAGTTAATAAAAAAGGTAATCGAATATAATGTCATATATTTTAACTAAATGTACCTCTGTATCAGATCACAGATCAAGTTAGGAAATTTTAACTTAGGTTACATAATCGATGAATGTCAGACCGAATAGATATTGTTTTTGTCTAAATCCTAAATTTTTAATAGTGTCAAGTAAATGGTTTTTGTTTTTCAACTATAATCACATTGACTTGCTATTATTAGTGTTATTATGACTTACCACCATCCGCCATTTGTACAATATTAAGTTCTGACAATACATGAAACAATCACTGTGCAACCATAACAGCCTCTATGGGGAATATAATCACGTTTTACCTTACCATTATGGTTACTGAATGAATGAATTAATTAGTCCGTGCTACAAAAAAATATATAGGTTATTTTCTTAAACAGTATATGTTCGTTCAACCAAAATCTATTAAAATATTTAATATTATAATATAATCAAAAATAAATTTGGAAACATTCTCGTTAGTTTGTCTCCTTTGTTGGTTTAATTGGTAAAATTAATAAAATATACACAAATATAAAAATATTTTGACATCTTTTTACCTGCAATACGGTACTACATGCATCAATAAAAAGATCGGACACGAAAAGTTATCCCATTTGGCATTTCACAACGGGGAATTCATTTCACTTCACTTGACACATTTTTTAATGTTTAGAACTGCTTATTTATAGGACTTAACTTACTTCTAAACTTTACTGTTTAAAGGTCAAATTAATAACTTTATTTTAAAACTTAGTTATCGTTCGTTGTTTTTACAGACCGATACGACCTTCAAACCTTTAAGAAAATAGCGTACTCCTACCTAAGAGTTGGGCAACGCCATTGAGTTGCAGGCGTTTATAGGCGGTACTTTCCATCTGGTGACCAGTCTCCTTGTTTCCCCCCTCTTCCATAAAAAAGAAGGCTCGGACTTTCCGGCAATAGTCAATTTGAATTACAAGTATCAAACCTACTCTACTCGTATCTATTGTTAACACTTTTCAAACCAGCAGTATGAGCCCTTTAAGACTTTTGCCTTCCCTTCATATCTACTTTTTCTTTCAATATTCTCCCAATATTCCTATCTTAATCCTAAATCCGACTGACGCCTAGAGCCTAGTCCCCTACTACATTAGTGACACAAACATTATAATTGGTAAAATCTGGGTACCTTAATACGCCTCTGCCCACGCCATCGAAGATGGCAGTCTGTCGACGAACTTGTGTCATGTCCATCCAACACAAAGGGAGAATCCTCCCACCAGGTGAGGTAATCACGTCTGGCGGACGTGTTATACCAATATTATAACCAGTATTATACCAATCGGTGCGAAAACTTTCACTGCGCGATGCAGTATTTGTAGTGATTCCGCAGTTCGGTGCACCTTCGTTAGATGGTACTGAAGTATACTTTTATTTCATTTTATGTGGAATTTGTCACAAGTCAGTGATCTCCAAAAATGTATTTCTTTCAGACGTTCATTTCAGGTAATCTATTAAAGTTGTAGTTTTTAAATTTAGCATATGGCGTAATAAAAAGGTCCTTATGGTACATCCAAAAACTTAATTTTAAAGGTTTAACCGATTTAGAGGAGGTCTGAAAATGATTCGAAATAGCATTATGTAATAATATACCACTACCATATTATGCATAGACAAATACGAGCAATTGAGTGAATGTGACCATTTTATTCACAGAAAAGGTCAGGTTCATTAGCCCAAACTGTTGTTGTACTGATAAAGTTAATTATCGTATGTTAATTTTTGTTGACAACGTACTGAATTTCAGAACACCTTGCTTTTCTTATTGTGATAATATAATCACTATTAAACTAAATAATCCAACTGTACGGTATACTAAATGAAAGATCAACGTTACAGGAAGAAAAACTGTGTTTAATAGAATAAGAAAACTTAACAAATCTTCAAAGGAATTGCTGTATATCGATGCGCAGCGAATGGCGCGAAAGGTCGCCTGGAATGATGTTGCAACACTTACTGTTTATTCATTGTTCAATTATTTTTATATATTGTAAATGAGGTTCGCTGCGCGTCGATTTCAGCATAAAACTATAACTTTCGAAATGTACGGGTTTGTTAGTGCACCAACTAATAAAATATGCAATTTAATTTTTTTAAACGTGGTGTTTAGACATTATTTCGATAATTGCCCGTTTTGCAAAGTATAACATTAATTTCCTTTCGTCAATTGTCGTTTTCTTACGCAGTGTCACCTACTTTCTTTCTTTCTTCCATCAGATAGAATATCACTGTAGGTTTATATTATTTAATCGTTTTTGGTCCTGTGTCATACAATGTGAAGGGTATTTTCTTTCACTCAGGCAAATAAAAAAATCATTAGGATCTCTCTAGAACTACATTTTCTTTGTAGAATTTTACATATGTACATAGGAATAAAAAAACACGCAACGACCTTGAAGAGGAATGCGGCGATCATTATTAGCAATCCCATTGCTATTAACAACACTTTTTGATTTAAAGATTAAGAGTATCGTGAAAGAGAAAGGTATTTCCTGAAATCTCTTAGTATAGGACACGGATGCAAAAGTATATGTACTTTAAAAAATCTTCTATATGTATGAATATGTTCAGTTGGATTTTGTATGCTTCAAGAACTCAAAAAGTTCTGCACCGATTGATATCAAATATTGAGACGATGTACAACAATCCGCTTCAAATATTTTATCCATTTTTCGTATCACTTATGATCCTCATTTCTCATCCCTGCAACCAGAGTGTGCCACAGGGAATCATGGCAGGGTACAGTTAATATGAAAATTAAAATAAAATAATAAAAGGTTTCTCAATTTCACAGAATCACGTTGATTGGTCGGGCTTGAGAAAGAAATTCTTATCAACTACTTGAATGTGCGATAACGTTCGTACGTCGATACTAATACTCACATTTGATTTAGGTACTATGTACTTAGGTATTTATTGCTGTTTGAGGTCGCACCGTTAAATCGATTCGTGTATCGCTATGGCCTTGGCCATAAGTTATGACTGTCAAGCATTACTATGTAGTGTAAAGTTAACCTTTACATTGCATATTGAATGTACCTAATCTAAATTTGAATAAAACAGTATTAATAAGCAATGCATTGATTTTTTTTAACGGGGATCTATGTTTATTAGAATTTGAAAAAACTCTGACATTTCATGAATGTTCCATGATTTTAAAATTAGAAACTACGCAATGCAACGCAATCGCCACAACTCCTTTTATTTTAATTTATGACTTGATAATTATTACATAAATACTAGATATTTTGGACGTATATTTATTTTTTGTGATATGTTTAAAATATGAATTGTCTACTACCTCAATAAACAAAGGGCCCCGAGCGTATCTACACTTGACATATTGGTGGTATAGACCACGGAGCAAAATATAGACTAATATCGCTTGCAACTATTTTTTTTTCGTCATATCTACAAATTGTTTCTAATAGAATGGCGTATCTCACTCAATAAAGTCATAAATGCACTTATATAGACATCTATAAAAGTTATAATTTAGTCTCTTTTCCAGTTTAACAATTATACATTGATTTTGCACTGGTGCTAGATGAACACTCAACAAAAATCAGATAAATAGATGAATTTAACCTAAAAGAGCTGGCCTGCTGGTGCTCTTGTTCGGGATCTTGAGAGCTAAGACAGAAAATAGTAGAGTTTGATTCCAATCCAAGATAAATAAATTCCCGATCATTTGTTCGGCGTCTGGGTCTGTTTTATCTATAATATGTACGTATGTAGAAATATATTACTATGACTCATAACTGGTTTGCTTTCTCAGCTTGGACAGAAGGAGTATTTCTTCACTGCCACTGGCTTCTCTACTCGCCTACCTATCTAACATCTCACTTCTAATATCTCTACTCTAATCATGACGAAAATAAATAACCTTCTCTTGACCTCCGATAACCTCTCTCACTCTGTGAAAAACGACTAATACATTCACACACACAACGCCATCTAGTCCCAAACTAAGCAGAGCTTGTACTATGGGTACTAGACAACTGATATAAATACATATATACTTTTTTTTGTAAATACATACTTATTATACATAGAAACAAACAGACCAAATCAAACATTAAATGTTCATGCACACAAATTTTTAACTTGAGCGGGAATCGAACCCGCGACCTTTGGAATAGCAGTCCGTTACACAAACCACTACGCCATTCGGTCGTCACTAATTGCTTAACACCGGATTTCTGTAACTTTGTGGTATTAATTAAGTCGATAAATATCGATACATATGTACCCGTGACTCTCCCACGGTAAAGCATGGCTCTCCCTTCGGGGAGTTGCCATACATCTATACAAATAAATAAAATTGAAGTGTCTGTATGTAATGTCAAAATAATAGGTTATTTCATGATTACACGGTTATTTACACGATACCTAAGTACTAAAAACCAGTTAATATTTGTCTGTCTGTCTGTTTGTTCCCGGTAATCCTCAAATAATATTTTACTACCAGGTAACTGTCTGTATAAGGAGTAACTTCGGCTATTTTTCCTCTCAAAAAAACCCTAAAACAATTTTGAACGGTTCGGGAATCGTTCGGAAATCGAAGGTCTCATGGACTGCAGTCGCATACCGTACTACACCACTAAGGCAGCGCTTTTCAAATTCGATTCAAACGAAGTCGCGGGTACCGGCTAGTTTAATAATAATATTTAGACGTATATACACAACTAATTACAGCAGATATATAGTTTATATATATGGTATTATATATATAGTGTGGTGTTGATGATATAAGGTAGTAGCAACTGTTAGTCCGGTGGTAAGGTGGATTGTTTGCCAACATAATTGTATAACTTATACACCCGTTTGGTTATCTTTTCCCCGTAAACCGTTCCTGTCTGCATACCCCACCGGGGTTAAGACTTTTTCTATTACTACTAGCTCTAAACGTATCCAGTGACAGTGAGCCCACCTGTCCCATAATTATTACTTAACTTCAAATTAATTAGTTAAATTTCAGAATTTCAGTAATTTATTTTCAAGTGTTCGTCGCACTTTCTTGAATCCTTTATTTTTCGACAAATTCACTATAGAATATTGAAGAATGCATTATGAGTCAATTAGTTTACAAATTAAATATGTATGTCAAGATGCATTGGTCGATAACAAAGGTAGATGAGTATGCACAATTGTGTGTAATTGTGTATTTAAAGTTTATAAATTTGAAAGTATGTAGGTATACAGAGCATACCGTATACCTAAACCTGTTCTATGTGTACATAATATGTGAGTATACGCGTAATCACATATCATGTAGTATATTCGACATCGCTAGCTTTCATTTGAGTTCATTGAAAATTACTTATTACTTCTGTGGTGGTATTATTTAGGTTTTTAAAGAGGGGATCGAGATAATGTTATTTTTATTTATTGAGGTGCCAAATAGTCTTTAATGACTTCAAAATCATTCAAAAAATAATTGATCATATTTTTGATTGCATCACTGGATCAACTAGACCCATCTAGATCTACTGTTCTTGGAATGTAAGAAAAGGCATCCTTAACTTAAAAAGTTAGGCAGAGCAAGTAAAAGAAAAAACATATATGTTGTTAATTTTGTTTCACTAATTTTTTTTATTTATTTGATTCTTAACGCACAATTAACAAATGTGCAATGGCAGACTTAATGAAATAGGCAAATTTCATCCGGTATACCCCTGGGTGGTGAAAATCGTCGGACTAGAGATTAAGTTTCTTTTTTTAAAGAGATAATAATAATTGAGAAGATAGACAGAAATAGTGGGACATGCATACATACTAAAATAAACCTACTTATATATTTTCTGAGTTACAAACATACATAAATAATATATAAAAGTTTAAGGTTGTGATGAATCTGATAGGGTGTCGTGATCTCGAACTTTCGTCTTGAATCCTCCAGAGGAGGACAGATTGGATTAGGCAAAAAGAGTGTAATTATCTCGGAGAGTTAACTGTTTCGTAGATATATCGATTTACGAGAGAGTTTTGCTTTAATATTTTATTTACACTTAACTACTGTTATTAATTTGTACATTAATTAACCAACACGTGCTGATTCACGGAACTAAAAATATCAGATAAAGTCGTTCATGTCGCAAAATATGAGATTTGTGATTCGTCCCAAATTACTTTAAAAAGGTATTAAATAACTTTACAGCGTTCTAACGTTTTAAGTCGTACTGGTGCAGTTACTCCTGCTACATTGGCCTATATGATCAAATGTGCAATCCTTATCGGAAACTATGTCTTTAAAAAGTTTGAGCAGCAAAGCAAAAAAGGGACCCTCAAAACGTTTCCGTTTCGTTTTATATTAGTTACTATCATCATTTTGATTCATTCAGTAAGAGTCAATCATTAAACGTGATTATCCAACCAATTTCTTTTTTATTTAGCCCACCAGAAAATAATTAAGCAAATACACAATGAAAATGCAAATACATTGTTTTCTAACAAAGAATGTAATGTCAATAATACTAGACAAGATTTGACCCGCAGCTTCTATCGCGCCAAGTACAATTTACCTAAACGAAAGAATGATTGAAAGAAAAAAACTAAATCCAGTTTTTTTCTTTTAATTTCAATTAACGATATTTACGTGATTAACGTAATGAAAAACAATTTTATTTAAGTGGAAGTTTTTATTACATTAAGATTTTAATTCCATGTTTACCTATTTGTACCTAAAATAACCTATTTATACATGAAACAGGTATATATGTGATCTTTTTATTTTAAAATGATTTTACTAATATCAAAAATGAACATTAGAAGATAGTTCTTAAACTTCAATATCTTTGTTTAACTTAGCGAATAACTACAGACCACAAGACAGATAACGACACCAAACATTAAACCACATTATAAAAATCGCTCATAAAACTGAACTTTCAGAAAAGTAAAGCGAGCTTTTCTCATTCTCAGATTGTTACCGCTAGCGTAGGCGATACATAACTTTAACTTCCGAAGCACACGCTCTGAAATATTTATTCCTGAAACGTAAAGATCGGGTGGGGGGCGGTGGTGGGGTAGGTTTATCCCGCGGTTTCCTTCCCGCCGTGTTTTACTTCGAGAATGGGAAGTCGCCGCCGACGGGTCGATATTGCCAAAGATAAAGCAAGGCTTAGAAGCGATTTTCTTCTAAAACTTTGTAAATCAGTTTCATTAACATACTAAGTTATAAAAAATATTTTCTAACAATAAAGAACGCAAATTAAAACGCAAAAAAATTAAGTCGGTCACAAAAACATTTCACGATCGACGTTGATTCCTAACGTTGTATGTGAGTATAAATAAATGATTATCTTATATCAGCTATAAATTCAGTTTTTAACCAAGAAAGTCTAGTCTAGTCTAATTTCAATCATAAGTAGGTATGTTAATGTTCCTTAAAAACTGTCTCTCTATTTAACAATACCCGATACTCCCCCTGGACCGCATCCAAGTGACTTGAATCAGCCTAAAGATACCCGATCGGCTCGTCCCCTTGGCGTTTCGTAGAGATGTAGCTTCATTTTACATTCTCTATCGCATATATTATGGAGAAGGCTCCGTTATACATTTTGCCTTGCACAATCAATATGTGGAATAAATTATCGTCTGCGGTATTTCCGGACAGAAGGTCGTCAAGAAAACTGCGTACTCCTTCCTCAAAGGCTGGTAACGCGCTTGTGATTCCTGACTTGCAGGCGTTCATGAGATGGTAGTCATGTACCATCAGGTGACACGTCTGCTCGTTCGCCCCCTCTTCCATAAGAAAACCATTATAACAAATCCTTTTTGACATTTCAACCTAGTTCTACGTCTTCAGCTACAATCATCGCGCATGTAATCTGTGGTGGTTCCCCGACCTCCAGTAGGGGGCTCCCCCACCGTTCGATTGTCTGCGGAGGCTGCCCGCCGGTGCCATCTGATGTGCCGAGAGCACTCCAGATCTGCATAGATCGTTGCCTTCGTTTTTTCCCTATCGAAAAATCAATACTTACACTTTTATAAAGTCAGAGACACTTCTTGATTAAATTACAGATTAATTTTTTAATCGTTTTGCTACTTTGTAACTTTTTTATTTTTTTTTAAATATTAACCTTATTATTACTAACATGCAACAAAGACTATGGTTTGCTTTAAATACATGAAGTATTTTCCTTTTTACACCGCAATAAGGAGTAGTTCAATTGTATATATTATGTAGGTCACCAAATCGTAGGCTGCAAACGACTTTGTATATAATGTGAATTGCGTCATTCCAAAACCATACCGAGCTTTCCGCCTCCTCCACCCTCAAGGGGAAAGAAGCTCAAATACCATGCAATAAAGCCTTCGGATCTGGCAAAACAAATACAACGAACATTCCAATGCTAGATATCACTCGCCCCGCCCACACAGTTGGCATTACGACTGTAAGCCCTCCCATTGGTCGCCGCGAAGCCTTCTCCATTTCGAATTGGTTATTTTTTTTCTACAATTGAAATTGGAATTGTCAGTTAGTACTGTACAAGTGTGTTGCGCATGCGTTGCGAGGAGGCGTCTACGTCACGTACACGTAGATATGGTTTGAGGACTACGAATGTTTTATTGGATTTCGCTCTTTGTTCCCATTCGTATTTCGAATTCAGATCTGGATTTGTTCTCGTGCGTTTAGTGCGCAGACGTGATAGCAGTACAACCTTTTCTTATCCTATGTTTATTGAGGGTTCTATATAAAAAGAATCTTCTATTTGGGTCTTCTATTTAGTTACAGATTTATTTCATTCTGTAGTCAAAATCAACATCAATTATCATTTAAATAGAACAGCGCGGAGCCCAATAACCGAGAACGCTCAAAAATAGAACAGAATTGTTTAATGAACAATTAAAGGAACCCGGAAGGTAACTAACTATGTTATCGTAATAGATAACAACGGAGTTCAAATCTAGGTAAATATGATTTAATAGTTCTTTATGTAAATGATGTATCGGACAAAGATCAATATAGAAAATTTACGTAAAGTTACTTTGTTAAAATTCCATTAAAACATACGACACAACATCGTTGGCAATAATGCGTCCGCAAGCTCTTTAATACTTCTTGAAGCTTCTCAAAATAGAGTAACACTTTAGTACTAGGTTTTACAGTTCAGAATGTTCCAACAGTGTCGTGGGACAAGTGTACATCACGTTGGCATCCACAGCTAGCTCTGTCCGGAACAATTTCATTTGCGACTGGGCGAGGATAGCGCTGTAATTACAACAACAATCGATAGAGGCGCCACCGTCTGCCGCACGTTTAATCTCGCCAGAATCAAAGGACCGTCGCCTCACACCCACCTCTGTACCAAAAACAAACGTACGACATTGCATACCTCGACCAATTTATCTACTACTCTATCCATTGCGTTTTTTGTTCTACTCGATACTGGAATGGATTGGATTCTGCAGCAACATATACCGTAGTTTATTTAAAGTTTGTTTTAAACTCTACGCATAGTACATATATTGTCTCCAAGCCTATATCTGCAAAGGTATGTTTAGAAGTCCCCCAACCAGATAGTTGCATTTCCAGTCTGCTATACATATCTAACTATTTCTGGAGTTTTATTAACATTGTTGCTACTTGTTATTGAGGAAGACCTGAGTAGCAGAGGATCGCATCATCTTGATTACAATTACGTTATAATTATATAGACATAAATAAAACTTTTGCTTAAAAGATTAAAATGTATGTTTTCTTTAAATAAGAAACTTAACTAAATTATGATAATCAAATAACCCTAATTAACGTGTTAATTAACTTACTAGTCTAATAAAAAAAAAATACTTGGTTTCTTGGTCGTACCAATGCTATGGATATAAAAATCTGTTAGTCAATCCGCTTTTTGCTTATTCATAAACCGTCTGAACTGATCTTTACGCAATTTAGCAAATAAGAAAAACCTGTGAGCTATGAGACCTGTGTATCACGGACATACTAATATCTATATGAGTTGTAGAAGCGGTTTTTTAATAGACTACATTAAGTTAATCCCTAATTTAATTATTGTAGTATTCTTAGATTGTTCTTGCTCTGGTTACCATCTATTCTAATTGAACTCGAAGTAGTAGTAAGATAGTATTCATTTGCTATATAAATGATGTTATTGACCTATATGATCAGAATAAGCATTTTTAAGAAAATTTCGACAACAAAAGACTGGAAAATTGCAGAAAGTGAAGTAATTTTTAACAATGTGTTAAAAGTTTCAAAATTACGTGAAAACGGCTACATAACGCTACAGATTTCTTGTTGAACCTAAATGGCAAGGTAAGCTGTACAATGACACTTGCACAGCTTTCTTATTCAGGAAAATGAAAACAACCCAAAACCAAACAATAATAATCGTAATTGAATCAACATTGGGCAATCTATAGGAGGTATATTTATGATATGATAGTGGTGAAGTATGTACTGGTACACAGCGTCCAGGGTGTGAGTTGTTCGTGTAACATATAAGGAAAACTCCCAAGCTCCACAGCGCACTCTCTATCGTATATTGAGGTAACACAGATTTAGTAGGTACACGACATAACTTTACATATGCAAATATTTTAAACGGCACTGAAGTACAAATACTAAGTAATTAAAACGAATGTGAATTATCGTTATATTAAATAACACAGATAAAAGAATGCGTATACGGACAGTGTAGCATTCAACATAGTAGGGTACTGTTAGGCCAAATAAGTGACTCTGTTATAAACAACAAAGGGGTTCATTCTCTATAATCTCAGATTAAATAAAAGCTTTTGACGTCAAAAATATGATCATATGTTATTTATTTATGTCATATTTATAACGAAAGAAAACAGTAAAAAGTTACTGTTAAAAGTTGCTGTAGTAAATATGTTGAAGTAGTATTTTTAACATTAATAAAACATTAACAACCTTTGAAATAGAACGAATTCTCTTAAAGTGTTTATTTCAACTTAAAGCTTACGCTGATAAACTTGAAGAGTTTATATTTAAGTCGGTTCGGTGAACTAACCCTGAAACTAGATATAAATGACTCTGTACTTACGTACTTCTATCTTCTTTCTATTCACCCAAAAAATAACTTTTTGGACTTTATTGTACACAAGTACCTACTAAATAATGTAAAGTATTCTTAGAATCAGCTTGACTTGTCAATAGCATAAAAGTAATATTATTAGTCACGAAGATATTACATTAGGTATACAATTAAGAAACATAATAAGTAAAAACCGCCCAAAAAAGACAATACATTTAAAAATGAGTTCTAATTCACGTTAGTTATCGTTCAGGACCTTCATATATTGTACACTAATATTAGAGCATGACATCGATTCTAAACAGACTTCAATACAGATTGTTATTGAAAATAATGAGGTCAAGGACTTCTCAACTTGCAAATCAATATTTCCGATATTAGAATCGACTACGACATAAAGTTGTCCGGCAGCGGAATAACTTGGAAGTTCTAACATTACATTCTACGGGCCACGCTACTTATAGAATAGGAAGCGAGTGTAGGTAATGGCGCAAAATAGTGACGCAGTATTATTGCGGGAGGCGGTGGAGGTCTCACACTCCCGACTCGGTGACTCCACTCTCCCCGAGAGCGACTGAAACGTCCGCGAGAATAATAAGATCTGTACTCCATCCCGCTTATTCTTAGGAAAAAAAGCTTTTTGTGTATTTTTTAGGTTGATAGGTAGGTAAGTCTTTGTGTGAGTCAGTAAATAATGTTGTATGAACGAATGTCCGCTTGCTATGTATTGCGTAACGACGTCGAGTGTAGATTATTATATTATCGCATTGTCACGTTGATCCTACACGAATATTTTCTTTTTTCGTACTCGTATATTTTCATCCATTCATTCCTAACTTCTACAAATAACAATAATATTACATTTGGGTTCTTATATTCATGTTAAGTAATTTTTCTTTATATAACGTGATAACATTACTTACTTCATTAATGTTTTTGTAAACAAAGCGTTATACTCCGTAAGCCAGTGACAGATTTTCATAACCAAGTTCCTCTCAGTCGATAACTCTAATAAAGTAAAATGCTATAGCGAGTTGTATCTTGAAGCGTGGTGATCATCAGCTGCGGCTCCGTGGGTGGGTTGAGCAGTAATTGCCACCCACGCACGTAATAAAAAAATATTTTTAGTCATTTACTCCCGATGAAAATTTAACCTCCTTTCTAAGGAGAGGCCTATGTCCAGCAGTGGACTAGTATAGGCTGTTGATGATGATGATGATGATGAAAATTTATCAAATTATAGTTAGCCCAATATCTTGAAGAAGAAAAAGTGTCAGCTAATCATGAAGTGGCGGACAGGTGGGATATTAAAAAAAACGCTTCGAGGGTCGTTAGATAATAAAATAATACAGCGACTCACGAAGCGCTTATTTAGAAACTTTTATTTGTTGAGCTGTATGTTTTGGCCAAAATTATGTGCAAACCCCTAATATATTATACGAGTAACCACCATAAGGGGCAAAGGAGAAACATTTGAGCGGAGACAGTGAACCAAAAATAGATGACAGTAACACGAGCCAAAGCGTGAACGAAAAATATGAAATTACTAAACTAGTAAAGAAATATTCCAATAAAATTATTTCTTTCAATTAGCGCATTGAATGTAATGTTAAAGAACTTTTGATGCATCATTTCCTCTAGAATGAAAATTTGTATGCTGATTATTGATATTATCCTGAAAGTAATGAAAAAAATCAGCTGGCAGTATGCCGAGGGAAAATTCGTCAGCTGATGTAAGTATTTAAATAGGCGATACATGCTTCCGGATGCGTTACACCTTTCAGGGCGTCAGCTAACAAGCATTACACCTAGATATAGCCAGCTAACTTTTTTATTTCTTAACAGTAACATATAAACTATCATCTGATGAATTTTCAGTTGGTAGGAAATCACTGAACACATATGTATATATTTGTTTCATGTTCGTGTGACCCGCTGATGTATAATCCACTGTTTCATGATTAGCTGACAATTTTGGTTCTTCAAGGAATTGGGCTAACTATAATTTGATAAATTTTCATCGGAAGTAAAAGATTAATTTTTTTTTAACGAGGCTGCCAATGATCAACCCATCTATCAGCTGACGATCACCACGCTTCAAGCATTTTACGAGTTATCGACTTAGAGGAAATAATTGACGAAATTTGCGCCTGACTATTACCGTGTTGTAATCATTATAATTAATCACATTACACTATGACATTAAGTAGTACGGAGACCTCACTAAAGATACCTAACACCTCTTCAGTTTTTTGACATTTATGTGTGATAGAAGTAATCACTTAATAATAGGTGCGACAATTTCATTAATTGAAAGCTAACTAAAACTGACTTTAACGCTTAAACGTCGACGTTTGATGAAAGTGCAATCTAAATCAAAACTTTTGGCCAAATCAGTAAAGGAGAGTCTACA